CCAAAGTTGGAGAGGACGGGGGCTGCGTTCAAACGCATCCTCCCCAACCTCGGGGGGCCAAACGCCTCCTGCCGGAGGTTATACGCCGGGGTCGTGCGGTCCATGGCCCTCTACGGCGCCCCTGTTTGGGCGCCGAACTTGTTGCGGCGTCCTGCTCGGACGCTGCTCAAGTCACAGAGGGTCATGGCGATCCGAATGATCCGCGGATACCGCACGATCGCTGGGGAGTCGGCGAACCTCCTTGCCGGATTACCGCCGTGGGATCTGGAGGCGAAGGTGCTCGCGCGCGTGTATAACATGCGCGCGGAGGCACGTCGCCGGGGCGAAACTCCGCTGCCGCGCCAGATAAGTGCGTGGCGGGATGAGCTCCGGCGCGATCTCATGGCGGAATGGCAGCAACGACTGTCGCAACCGAGGGCTGGGCTCGCTGCCATTGCAGCGGTAAGTCCCCTCTTTGAGGAGTGGCTTGAGAGACGCTACGGCGTCCTCACCTACCGCCTGACGCAGGTCCTCACCGGACATGGAAGTTTCGGGAGGTACCTGTGTCTGATGGGGCGGGAGGAAACGCCCGGGTGTCATCACTGCGAGGACCGCCCTGAGGACACGGTGGAACACACCGTAGCGGAATGCCCTGCGTGGGCTGAGCACCGCCGTGCCCTCAGGGAAGTGATCGGCGATGGCGACCTCTCGCGTCCGGGCCTAGTGCAGGCCATGATGCGGAGCGAGGGGGACTGGGATGCCGTCTCCTCCTTTTGCGAAGCAGTCATGCTAGCTAAGGAGGAGGCGGGACGCGTGAGGCAGCGAAGCGCTGCCTCCTCGCGACCCAGCCATCGCGAAGGACACACCGGGCGTCGGGGATCGCGGGACGATCTCCGGCCACCGTAAGCGCGGGCCTGCGGACGGCGAGCATGGGTGGCTCCCCGTCCGACCAGAAACAGACCCGAGCGTACGGCGCGTCGCGTTCCGCGCGCGCCTCAAAGAGCCATCAGACCACCACAGATGGGGCCCAATAGGGCCGATGCCGATTCGGATTCGCGGAGAACCTAACGGGTAACCGGGGCTCCGGCTCGACGTGCAGGAGAAGGAACGGGGTGGTTTTTAGTCAGTAAGAGTCTGACACTCCCTTCCGCCTCACCCAGGCGGGAGCAGTCATTCGATGATTTTCCCCCCTTAAAAAAAAAAAAAAAAAAAAAAAAAAAAAATAGTTGCATGTATTATTCATCTTTTACATTAGTAACAAACACAATAACAAAAAACAGTAAGAAAGTTAAGCGCACTGCTCTACAGTATAGGGATGATGACGAGTTATGAAAATTAAAATTTTAAGTCTTTCAATTAAGTTATGAAAAAATATTAGACAGTTTTTATTTTATCGTATAAGAGAATCGTATATCATATAAAAGAAAACAATACTTAGATAAAACGAATCAAAGTTTAGTAGACGGAGCAAGTCTAAAATGGACACAGAATGAGAAAGGTGAAAGTAGATATTTGGCTAATGTAAAAACTTTACACTTTTTTCAAGGGGGGGAAATCATTGATTCTCCCGCCTGGGTGAGGCGGGAGGGTGTGTATGTAACTGATGTCTGTGAGTCTCTTACTGACTAAAAACCACCCCGTTCCTACTCCTGCACTTCGAGCCGGAGCCCCGGAACCCGTTAAGTTCTCCGCGGCTCCGAAACAGCCCTATTGGGCCCCATCCGTGGTGGTCTGATGGCTCTTTGAGGCGCGCGCGGAACGTTACGCGCCGCATGCTTGGGTCTGCTTCTGGTCGGGCGGCGAGCCACCCATGCCGGAGATCATAACACTCTTACCTACTTATTATTATTTAAAGAAATAATCAGGCAGACGGACTTTAAAAAAGACATACCAACAACAACCTACCCTATTGTAATATGCTGCCGGCTGCTGCCCCGTTAGGTTATGATTTTGGCTAAAACGAATAGCATATGCGACCTCTTACTTTGCAATAAGAATAATCATAACTTCAGTTAACTATAAAAGAATGGTGAATAATTAATGTTTAATACTTGTAAGTAGGTAAATGAAACTCATTAATTTGGTTGATTACATTTAATCTTAATTACATAATGTCTAGGTATAAGCGTTTACACTGAATCTAATATATAGGTAAGTAAGTACATTATAATGGTACCCAGTCAGACATAGAACTATTATACATTAGTTGGGTAACTTTAAATCGCAATCTTTCATGTCTCACATGTTATTGACCTTTTTTGTGCTTTAGCAATATCCTAAATTCACTGGGAATTTGTTCCCGAAATAGTACCCACTACCAATTTTTTTTGTAAGTTAACTTCTCTTCAAGACGAATCAAACTAGCCCATACTTGATATATTTGTGTCGTTTTATTACAGAATCCCTACATATGACAGTTCCACCATCACACCAGCCCTTAACCATCTACAAATTAACATGTCAAGACCAAATAAACGACCAAAACTCGATGAGATTACGTCGTTTCGTTACAAAATTCCTAAGGCCACCTTCCAGCTCTATCATCAGACCCTGGTTACCATACCATTACAAGACATACTACTCGTCTAGACAATTCAAACATGCCTAAATTGGATGGGGTTACATCGATTAATTACAGAGTTTCTATAACCACCTTTCAGCTCCATCATCAGACCCTGGATACTACCTACACCATTGCAAGACAAACTATTCATTTCATCACATCACAATAAATACATACATTAATTATTAAAATATGTATTCTACCAGATTAATCTCAATTGTTTTACCGGGACCACAAAGTTGCTGGGGTATTTAAACATGGTACCAGACAATTATAAACTTATGGTCACTACTAATGGAAGAAAAATAGATAATAGTGTATAATTTTATATGTAGGTATGTAGGTAGATTTCAATATCAAAGTTCCACTTTCTAACATCGAGATCAAATACAAATAGTAAATTACATATATTAAAACACTTGATTCCTTTAAAATAGTAGGCAACTATGCCTATAGAATATTGTATATTTGTATACCATATTAAAAGTGTATAGATAGGTACCTGTGTCAAATAGGTGGCAAGTCTTTTGTTAATACATGAACCGAACATGGACCTAGTAAAATGGGGTGGATAGGAATCAAATAGTCAATAGTAGCAGAAGAGAAGCATGCATTGCAGCAAGCATTTGGAAATTCTTCATATTATCTATTCACCGTCTTCTGTTTCTATTCTCCTCTTGACCCTACTAACCCCGTTTTACCATATTATGTATTATGTACAATTATTATTGTTAGTACATGAAAATTACTAGTTAAACACATGTAGATATAATATTAATATAACCGACATAATTATAATTACTACACAAATACTTTCAATATATTACGATAGTCAACTACTATATTATTAATTATTATGGTATGTAGGTACTCGCTATGTGCGCGATGACAGCGCCCCTAGTGGCCACAACTATTCAGGACTTGTCATCTGTAAAATCATGTCAACTAGATGTTATGATATCTTTGTGATATTGATTTTCGACTAGTTTTTCAACGAAATTGAGAAAAATAGTGTAAAAAGTGGAAGAGCTTAGAACGAACGGGAAAAGCTTCTTAATAAGATCTCTGATCATAAGACAAACGTCTGTGACACAAACTCCCTACAAAACGTCATTAAATGTGAGTATATACCTACCTACATATTATCAAGTTATAGAAATAGTATATTTGAGTTAGCTTCATGTCAGCTTACTTATATTAATTATTTTATTGTTTATTTTAATTTCAGATAAATGATGAACGTGTTGTTACAAACGTTAAGTGCGACTGTGTTTACAACCAAAGGAAGCATGTTGCTGCTTTGATACATTTCATCAACACAGAAGAGAGCTTATCAAGAACAAGCAGCGAACAGCAGTGGGGAAAACCCAGCACACGACAATTTGTCAAAAATACGTTTTTACTTAATAATTTTTACGTTTTTACTTAAAATTATAAAGGAAGTAATGAAAATAAAGCAATTTGACACTTGACAGTCCAGAATTAATTCATATTTCTGCCACATCGTGCGCTTCGATCGATTTGCCATCCCCCACCACCCACTTTGCACATAGCGAATACATTGTCATTGGATAAAAAGGGAAAATGTCTGAAGCATGAATGCCAAGACTACTTCTACACACAAGTAAAACATTTGATTTTTCAGATGAGTACCTTAAGTATTTAATCCATGCAGAATACATCACCTATACATATTGAACATTTATTATTAAATGCATATACCAACATAGTTGAGTGAGGCCATTGCCTGTCATTGTCTTGTTGTCACATTGTGTCTGTGGGAAACCATAACATAATCGACATCTTCCCTTAGTGACTAGAATTACAGATCCCTAACAATAATACCTACTTGTAGGTATTATGTTGATATTCTTTCTTACACAAAATCACAGACACTTTTAACTTATAAGATAGGTAGGAATTTAATTCGTTACGATTGGTACTACTGCAGTACCTGGTAGATATAATATTAAAAATAAAATAATAGCTATAGGACCTACTAGCCAGTAGGTGATAGGCCATAGTAAATATTACATATTTAAGAAGTAAATATTTGACTTTAATAAAACTGTATCATATACAATAAACAATAAAAATAAGAATTTATCAAAAAATCATACACTCAGTAAATAGGTACAATAAATACCTATCATCGCATTTATTTAGCCTTGCATACCTACTTACTTAAATATAATTCTGATAAAAAACATGTAGATAGATATAGGTGTAATATACAGAAATGAGATCAATATTAATATTAATAAAAACGAGTCTAGTAACATAATTTCTTAAAGTATTACTTAATTAGTAAAGGAAATAAAAAAATAAAGCTTTACATTTAAAAGTCTGTGATGTAGTTGTGACTTCTTGTAAAAAATAACTCTGAAATCTTCCCAAATGTAAATTCATTTGCATTATTAATTTCATTATATTACTCATTATAGTCATTTATAGATTATCAGTCATTGTCAGTAACTACTTGTGACAATTCAGTCTCAAAGTTATGCGTTAACTTTATACAGACCATATTTTTGGGCAAAGCCACAAAAACTATATGGCCAAATGCTTTCTCTACAACATCGACATTTAATATACGATTTATTGTTTCAGGAGGATTTCCACTATATTCTCCAAAGTTGTACTGTTTCACAGGTCTACGCTTAAATATGTTAAACTCATTAAGGTGCAGTATTGAATAATAGATGTGTAGGATTCCATCGTAGAATCCCACAAAGTATGCTTTCCCATATGATTTCATAAGAACTACATCTCTGAGTGGTGCATTTGGAAAAATGGCTTGCATTCCGACTATCCAATTGTAGAAGACCTGCCAGTCCATATATTTAAGGAAGTTGTATCTGTTTAAATCGTGTAACATGTTATTATTTCTGTAAAGAATTACTTTTAATATAATTCTATCTTTAACCAATGAATATATTCTGCGTTGGTGTGTGAGGATGTTAAGAGTGCCATCACAAAAACTCATGTGCATGACTTCATCATCCATGTGAGTCAGATTATTGGCAATAATGTTTTCAGAACATAGATCACAAAAAAAAATATCATTTAGAAAATTAACAAAATAAAGAGTATTTTTTGTCAAAACAAACAATTTCACATTTTCATAAGAATATGAATTAGGTTCTAGATTTTCCTCATCTACTTTTTTTATAATATGCAATTGCATTTCTAGACCAAGTGTTATTATACATTTATCATTTTCTGAATATCGTTGAAATCTCCCAACAATGCACCTTCTTGTAGTGGATTCTCTTAAGGTGTTTATGTCATAGAAAATTACCGAGCCTATTCTATGCACTGCTATAATGCCATTAGGTAATATTTTGAAATGTCTCAAATCTTGAGCTCTATATGATGAGTGTGAAAATTCAGTGATTGTATCAGAAGCTCCTTGTAGTAAATTCCATGTACTTAATGAGCGATATAAATCACTCCACTCGAGAACAGGGTATGTCTTCTCTTGAGCTGTTTCATATATATTTTTGAATTCACGTTTGCAATGTTTCAACCAATAAGTTTGATTTCTCATGATATAATTCGCTATATCCATCCATCTAGTACATACTAAACGGCACTGAACAAGTTTCTTCGGCTGCAGGAATTTTAGTATGTGTTCCACTATTTCAGTAGGAAGATATTGAAAATACATTTCAGTACATTCTTCATCTAGTGCTTCCTCCGGTGCTTCAACAGGTCTTTCTGCAAGTGCTTCAGCAGGTCTCCACGAAGGTCCTGGAGCACCACAGAACTTCTCGGCCATTTTTACAGTTTTAAGAGTAGGTTTTCACTCGATGATGAATAGGTAGGTATGACGATTAGGCGAAGTGCCAGATCTATAATTTTATTTTCTTCATAGTACCTACTGTAGCACTGTTTAATTTTGTAGGTAAAGAAATATACAGAACTACCTACGTATTTATATGGTCAGTATAATCCTTTGGAGTATAAAGCTTACATCATTAATTTATCCAGCAATCATCGTCCACGTCGTACGTACACTTGTAACCAAAACTGGCACTTTAAGAACTCCATCACAATCACCTATCGCCATGTTCATTTGATTTTTGATTTAATCGATTAACTGTGCGACTAGAAAATATTGACAGAGGACTCCCACCGGAAGTCCGGAACCGGACGTACATCGCACATTGGTGCAATTCATGTTCAAAAAATAAGTAAGAGTAATAGGTAGGTATTATGATTACCTGACGGTATACCTATTTTAGTTTGTGTAATGTACTTAGGCACGTAAACTATCATCAACAAGACGTTCTATCTAAATGTTTCTGGTGATAAATAAAATAAAATAATTAATGATAAAAATCTGTTCAAGGCGACGAAAATATGAGTAGACTAACTTGATTTTCGATATAACTAATAGAATAAACCGTAGACCAAGTCTAACTAAACTCAAGTGAAGAAACTAGCTATCTATCACCTTCATCCATAAATAAATCTGAAAAAAAAATTGGGTTCTGATTTTTTTGTTCACTTAACAATAGTTCTGAGTATGTATATTTGCACGACAAACTCGTGCATGTATATATTCAGAATAGAATTAATGGCAATAAATACAAACACTCTTTCCTTGGTTTACAATATTAATACAATTGAACCACTGTGCAGTGTTTGACAGAACTAAAAGTGACGTTTAAAGTGTTGCCAGAGTTTAGGTTCCAATATAACCGGAAGTAGTTAAAATATGGGTACGAAAAATTTATGGTTAGTAAATTAGTACATTGTTATAACTAACATTATTTTCTCTAAGTAACAATATTTTCAATCCTTTTTTTCAACGTCCTTGTTTTCAACTATGTGTAAGAGGGGAAGCAAGACCGTATTATTATTTAAAATTACACTAAATTCATGAATAATTTTAACTTGAAATGATGTAAGCAGAGACAAATTATGCATTATGTTTTGAAATAGCCAGTTTTGAATACTACCTGTTGTGCGTGACCATAGATATATAACAAAACTTCAAACTATTTGTATGTAGGAGTCTAGCAGATCAAGTGGGCTTTTTGAAAAATTACTGGCAGTATTGTTTATTTTAGATATTAACGATTTCTTTGTGAAATTTTGATAAAACAATAAATCTTTAAGATGTAGATGCGTGACTTGGACTTAAAGTAGATAATTATAAATAGAAGAGTTAAAATGTTATATTTTTGAGCCACACCTAAAAGAGCCAGCAAACGAAAAAAATGCTACGTATCGTTAGAACTGCTCTTTTTGTATTAGATGGGACTGACGTTTGGCCACTATCACGCCTGGTAGTAAGCGATAATGTGGCTTACGATGGAGCTTAAAATCATCTCAATCTCAGATATTCCGTATGGATAATATACAATATTTTGATATTATTTATAAGGTAAAATAAGATATTCATATAGTGTTTTTTTTTAAAAGGGGGGAAAATCATCAAATGACTGCTCCCGCCTGGGTGAAGCGGAAGGGAGTGTCAGACTCTTACTGACTAAAAACCACCCCGTTCCTTCTCCTGCACGTCGAGCCGGAGCCCCGGTTACCCGTTAGATTCTCCGCGACTCCGAATCGGCATCGGGCCTATTGGGCCCCATCTGTGGTGGTCTGATGGCTCTTTGAGGCGCGCGCGGAACGCGACGCGCCGTACGCTCGGGTCTGTTTCTGGTCGGACGGGGAGCCACCCATGCTCGCCGTCTGCAGGTCCGCGCTTACGGTGGCCGGAGATCGTCCCGCGATCCCCGACGCTCGGTGTGTCCTTCGCGATGGCTGGGTTGCGAGGAGGCAGCGCTTCGCTGACTCACGCGTCCCGCCTCCTCCTTAGCTAGCATGACTGTTTTGCAAAAGGAGGAGACGGCATCCCAGTCCCCCTCGCTCCGCATCATGGCCTGCACTAGGCCCGGACGCGAGAGGTCGCCATCGCCGATCACTTCCCTGAGGGCACGGCGGTGCTCAGCCCACGCAGGGCATTCCGCTACAGTGTGTTCCACCGTGTCCTCAGGGCGGTCCTCGCAGTGATGATACAGACACAGACACAGGTACCTCCCGAAACTTCCATGTCCGGTGAGGACCTGCGTCAGGCGGTAGGTGAGGACGCCGTAGCGTCTCTCAAGCCACTCCTCAAAGAGAAGACTTACCGCTGCGATGGCAGCGAGCCCAATTCATATAGTGTAGGATAGTAGAGAAGATTGTAGTTATGAATCGCCAAGGTTAAGGAACCCTTGCCGAGGTCGGTCCATGGATGGGTGACCACCTATTTTGGCGAGTTTTCTTCATATTTCAGAAGAAGAAGGAGTAGAAAGGTAAGAAATGACTTTTAGAACATCTATCTTGTAATTAAGTAAGTTACGGTCATTAATAGTCTAGAGTTCCTCACTTCTTTGGAAACATAATAAATAGGTATAGTCGTTTTGATAAACTCGGACTTCTAAAAATATGTAATAATGTTACAACTTACATAAAAATGAATGGTTTATTTGGCTTAATAAGTGGTACAAATTGTACCTATAAGGGACAACAAAAAAAGTATGTTTTACGAATTCCGCCGTTCGTCTTTTGTGCGAACGTAGTTTGATACTCGAGGAAGGATTTTTTTTAAGGAAGTAGACTTTGTACGCCGTACGTCCATACAAGTAGACTGCCTCTTTGGTCGAGTGGTCGCAAGTACGACTGTCGGGCAAGGGGTTTTGGGTTCGATTCCCGGGTCGGGCAAAGTATTACTGGGTTTTTAAAAAAAATCTCAATAGTAGTACGGAGTCTGGAATTGTTCCCGGTATATGGCAATAGGCTCACCCCTTATTACATGGGACTCATAACATAAATAGTGAAAAGTGGGTGTTACATTGTACAGTGGCATAATGTGCACCTGTGCCTACCCCTTCGGGGATATAAGGTGTGATGTTATGTAAATTAAATAGTTTGTTTTAATTTTTTAGAGGACCAACGTCGTTCACATATTTATGACACCGAGACCCGAAACAACAACTTGTGGATCACACAAAGAGATGCTTAGTGCGGGTATCGAACCCGCTACACATTGCGAGGCAGTCGGTGGCCCAGCCGCCGCAGCAACCGTGCAGTCGAAATGTACTTGTATGGAAATTACAAAAAATAAACCAGCCTCGACATATCTTTCTTCGTTGTCATGATACCACATCGGGCCCCGCAAGAGGCCCGACTACCCCAATCTCCGCAGTCGCAGGCTTCCCCATGATACCGCCGAGACAGGCATCGACCTGGATCGTGTGACCTCACGCACCTAGTCAGGGGCGGTGAGATGACTTGGATGGTACTTTCTTCTTCTCGGTTAACTCGTAACAGATGCAGGCCGAGTGAGAGTAGTCGGTAATTCTAGCCTGGGTCACGTTGTTTACGAAGTCTGTCCATCGCGTCAGAGAACACCCGTTAGTTCTTTAGCGCTCGACATTGTCCTGCACCATCAGCCTCTCCATCGAGTCTACGTTTCAGTTGATGTGTCCGATAACCATATAATAATTCTTATTAACACAATCGACAACGACAACCATCTCTCTTTAAATTTGACACATGTGAAAGCGTTTGTGAGTTGCGCGGCCTATGCTATTCTTAATCTAAGCACCCGTCTTCAACCAACACCACATTTATTATAGTGCATCCATCTTGAATCAGTCCTTAATCCTCAGCGCTTACGTTTAAGCTCTATATTAGAATATTTGAAAGACCAAATACTTCGTTAATCGAACCTTTGAGTTTCTTTATTCTAACTGATTGTAACTTTTTCTAGAAATAGCGCAACGGCTTCGAATTTCTTCTTGACAGGCTATCTCAAAATCCGCTATATTTTGGACGTCTCGTTGGTTGTTGTCGACTCAATCTACATTCATCACTTTGGTCTTATCTCGATTGTTGTTAGTCCAAAGCCCACAGCTGTGACTTCTAACCACCGAAGGAGTGTTTCAATATCGTTTCTGGATCATGCCAGGAGTGTGGTATTATCTGTGTCTCTTTAGTTGGAAATTTTCAACTTAGGCATAGTGTTTTCTGCATATAAGGTGTCTTGTCTGCTAAATACATTCTATACCTAAGGTGATGAATAGCAAACTAGCCCGAGACGGAGCCGCGGAAGACATAGGTTGGCCGCGGAAGATAGGGTTGTTGGGCTCCAGTTCGAAGAACAGGAATAGAAACAGGTGCTTTTAGTAAGTAAGAGTCAAACACTCTATCGCCTCACTTCGGAGTATTCATTGGATTGATATTCCCCTTTCAAAAAGAAAAAAAGACGTCGTCAATGATTATACTCTTTGGACGCGGCGTTAGCCATCAATAGAGTTATACTTGGACTTATTAAAATCTATGGGAGTTATACGCATGACACAAAAATGTCAATGGCAAATATGGTTTTATAAATTATAAGCCTCTACATTATATTTTATAAATAACAAATTATTTAGATATTTTTGGCTTACTCTCTAGTACCTACATAAGCTGTCTGCAATGCATGCATTATCGAAAAAGCATTTCTATGATGTGATGAAGGGCAGTCAAGAGGACACAATACTTGAATATAATTCGGATGATGAGAACGAGAACTACGATGTGGATATTGAAGCGAAATCTACCTCAGACGTGGGCTGCTTCACTAGGTGCCACACGAAGTCGTACGGCGTTCAAACACAGTGGAGTCGGAATAACAAGAATTTCCGCAATGAGTACACAAACACCAGCGACGTACTCAGTGAGTCGACTTTGCCAAACAGTGATACCAGCAGATACATTGCGATCCACCGCAGCTTGAGCTGTGAAGATATCGCTGTCTCTCGAATTCGCAGTGCACAGACCTCAGGCCCCATCACTTACAGTACGACTTACAGTAAAAATGATGTCTGCGTTGAAGCTGTGACTGGTGTGCAGTTACAGAAAAGGGGATTCTTGAAATCCGCGGCGGATAATCCTTCAAAATTTACGATAACTGATGACTTATATCAATGGTCTGACAAGAGTATTGAGCACCAATGTTGCACGATGGAGGCGGGTCATCAAACTGAACAAACTTGCTTCTGTCATGAACTTGTGGATTTGCCATGCCAGAGGGGTGTGACTGCTTGCCATGCCTTCACTCTAGGCACCACAGAGACACGACGGATACAGAATGAAAACAGTAAGAGCAAATTAATTGGTGGCTTCCGTGTACCAGTTTGCAAAGGTCATAAAAGATTTTAGTGGTTTTTAGTAATTGGTAATATATTTATTTCTAATTTACCTGGTTTTACAATTTACCATTATTTTTTAAAATTAATTTAGTAAAACGTTTAGACATATTCTTGATCATTAGTTTATTAGGTTGTTAGACTACATACTACATAATTTTATTAGGAATTTAATAGGCGAGGAGTCTTAACTTCTTGAATATATCAAGAGGCGTTACAAGGTTACAGAGATCATAGACGCGGGTAGCGAGCAAAGTGTGCTATATGCTACGTACGTTATGTTCCTATGGTTGATGTAAACCATAATTTGGACAACACATTGTAGATACGTACACGGCATTATCGTCCTCTCGGTCCATGGACGTTAGCCTTTTGCGAGTTGCACAGAATACCTGGAAGTCGAACCAAGACCGTTGCTCGGCAAGTTTATGATTCTATCGTTTAGCTCTCCTTATTATAATCTATTCTAATATTGCTGAAGTAAAAAATTAAAGATGTAGAGTTTGTTTGTACGAGCTAATCTCCAGAACCACTGGTCACTGGTTCGAATTGAATAATATTATTTTTGAGTTGGATAGTCCATATTGTGGAATATTACATACCTTTAGTCTATAATACATCATGCTACGGTCAATAAGAGCCGAACAAACCTCGTGGGAGTAGCTAGTTGAACTTGAAATTAAATAACTTATATAATTTTACACAGTTTCCCTAATGTCATAAACAAAAGGTTCTATTTTTTACTTCCTAGTTTTGCTTCTACAGATTATTTGACAAAACAAGGTCTGGTTAATATTGTTTAGTGACAAAATACTTGTAAATGGATAAAAACAGTGTGTTGAAGCTGCAGTCATCGGTGCCTCGAGTTTTTGTGAAGAATTATTTACGGTGTTTTTGTCAAGACACGATAAAACGGCCACTTATGATATGGCGGTCGTCGAGCGCTTGTCATCGACAGCCACTGTAAGATGCACAGATTATCTATAATAGTCTATAGTTAAAACGTCCTGTTCTTTTTTTAAATTTAAACTAATGTATTTTAGATTCTATATTCTAATGTGCTTGACTGTCCCTTTTTGATAGACGATTCCGTAAAATATGGCGGGTTTCTGATTGGGGTTATAAACGCTTAGGTAAATAGGTGCCTATATTTATATATTTTAATATATTTATTTGTTGTAACTCGTGCCTAAACTTGTTGGGCATGTAGGTACAAATTCTCCAGTCTAATAAAATTCGTGGTGCATGCCATACGACGGCTGCAGTTAAAAATATCAGTTTGTTAAATTGCAATACAACGCCTTTTATCCCCGAAGGGATTTTTTTTAAGGGGGGAAAATCATCGAATGACTGCTCCCGCCTGGGTGAGGCGGAAGGGAGTGTCAGACTCTTACTGACTAAAAACCACCCCGTTCCTTCTCCTGCACGTCGAGCCGGAGCCCCGGTTACCCGTTAGGTTCTCCGCGACTCCCTGAAGGGATAGGCAGAGGTGCCCATTACGGAACTTAATGGCACTGTACAATGTAACACCCACTTTTCACTATTTATTTTATGAGTGCCATGTAATAGGTGGTGAGCCTATTGCCATATACTGGCCGCAAGTCCGGTCGTCCGGAATTGTTATAGTCTGGAATTGTTTCCAGACTCTGTGCTACTACTCAGAATTTTAAAAACCCATTAAGAATTTGCCCGACCCGGGAATCGAAACCGAGACACCTTATCCGGCAGTCACACTTGCGACAACTCGCGATAAAAAATCACGCTACGATAAATAGAAACCGAGCCGCGAGTGAAACCTGAAAACTGAAAAGTAATTATTATTAAAATAAAGTAGACAAGACAATGTTACATTAAAAGAGTTTATTAAAATAATGAAACAGTTTACAACTAATAAAATAAATTGTGCCTTGTAGGTATCTATAACACAATGTTACATCAAATATTATATACTAAAATAGAGTGAATATAAGACAGGTATATAGCACATAATGTACGTTAAAAGTAAATAATATCTAATACTTTTATGTCACTTATATTTAATTTAATTCTAGCAATTCACTAATGACTTTGATAAATATTCTACAGTAATTATTACATTTATCTCCTACTCGTACCTACTTAATGATCACTGGTTATAATAAGTATCCACTAAAACAATACATATTTAATGAATTCTTTGATTCTCGCGAACATTACACATTTTTATTCGATTCAAACTTAGATTCAGTTTAAAATATAGTACCTATAAAAACGCGAATAATATAGGTAGATACCTACGCTTAAAGTGGTTTTATTAACTCGTCGAGTACCGGTTTTATAGACACAATTAAAGAACAATAGGTCGCGGTCACCGGTGACCGCTTGGTGTTTGACAGTTTAAAATACATTTTAATAGGGTATTTTGTAACAATAAGGCTCTAAACAGACGAACCGCATTTTGACTGTAATCCAACTGCAAATTGCAGTTCATTTGCACTTTGAACGTAATTGACATGACTGCAATAGAACTACAATTGGACTGCACGTTTGTTTTGCAGTTCAATTGCATTCAAACTGCATCTGAACAGCAATTTGCGGTTTGATTGCAGTTGAAATGCGATCCGTATATCTAGAGCCTAATCGTTAACGTCGTCGCATGCTTTGCGTAAATCATTATATTCAAGCCTTACTTAATATATTTGGCATATCAATAAGTACAATTTTAGCAACATAAAGCTAACATGTTTTTGGTAGGCGCAACAAAGATATATAAAATCTTTTAAGAATAAGAACATAGCATGGTTTTAAACAATACCAACGAGTTTATTTAAATTTATCTATTTGTGTGATCTGAGTTTAAATGAGTTTGAGTAAGTGAGTTATTTTATATGACTTTTCTTGTTTGGATTGTTTTAGTACACGTCACAAGCGAGATACATTTTTGTTACCCGTTTCGGACGGAGCTAATGTCAAAATTCTAGCTTTTGTAGTTTTACAGACAAATGGCTGTGAGTCACTGTATTTAAGTTTAAGTCAATACGTGAAAAAGGGTGTATAAATAGGCTAATTACATCAGATAGTCAGACACAGTAAAATGAATACAATCCATTATGGCAACTACATTTACCTATAAATATTATAAGTCTAAGCATTACACTAATATCGTATCAAACTAAACACATAATGTACAGGTCTTGTTTAAATAAAAAGAGAGTCGCAGTTACAATGATTTTTATATAAAAAAGCATATATACGGTCGAATTGAACAGAACAGAACAGAACCTCCTCCTTTTTTTGAAGTCGGTTAAAAAGAGTGAGAAAATATAATGCTTTGCCACATCAAAGCGTTATTTTTTCAGTATATATTCTCTGATTTCTTATTTCTCAAAAATGGATCTTAAGACTTTCCTTAGTGCTTGAAACGTCTATGTAAGCCCTAGTAAGGTATTTTAAGTGTGAACCCTGTTGACACAAGACCGATTTTCACATACCATTACGATGATAATAATATTTTATACAAAATACTTAAAGTTTCTAACGTGAAAAATATAAAGCACTTAGAAATCGTTTTAAAGAAAGGGCTGAATAATTTCTGCCTAAATTATTTTAATTATTTGAGTACCTAAGCAGACGATTTATTTTTAATGTTACGTCATATCTCACGTACATAAAAATGTAAATTTGTTTATAGCATAAGCTGGTAAACTAGCGGACGGATCACCTGATGGTAAGCAATCGACGCCGCCTATGAACACCCGTAACACCAAGGCTTTACAAGTGCGTTACCGGCCTTTTGGGAATTGGGAACTTGAGAATTGTGGAGGATTCGGGGATTTGGGAGACTAGGGATTACTTATGTAAACCTAAATCTTGAACTTCCGTTATTCTAATCTAAATTCATACTTTGGCAATATAAATCTTAGGTTTTTGTAAACATTATTAATTGCATCTTTAGTCAATTGATTGCATGATATCACAAAATTTTTCGTTATAAATATAATAGATATCAGTACCATATTTCTTTTTCGTTTCAGTGTTTTGACATAGAGCTAAAGGGATAAGGTTTAAGACAAGAAGAGCGGATCTGGATATTGTTAATTACTTGATATATCGTATGAAAAATCTACAACATTTGTTCACACAAAAATGGTCTCTAAACAAGGTAGGGAAAGAAGGTCTATAATGGAGTGAATGGAGAGCGGTCACCGGTGACCGCTTGGGGACTCGGCATTAAACAAAACAATCGATGGAATTTAATTATCATCTATTTCACACAGTTTCAACAGCCCAATAGGGCTGATGCCGATACGGAGCTGTGGACAACTTAACGGGTTGTCGGAGCTCCGGCTTGAAGGGCAGGAGTAGTAACGGGGTGGTTTTTAGTCAGAAGAGTTTGACTCGAATGGCGAGAGATATAATTGGATGATTTCCCCCTTTAAAAAAAAACTTCGATGGCCTAATTATATAGATAATAATGGACGCTGGGATGTGAGCTGTGCCTTGCTGAGCGGAAGGGTGACGTCGGTGTTCCCGGCGCACCACATATTGTGCAAAGCGAAGATGCTAGCTCTACCACGCTGTCACGCCACGCAGTATAGTATTTTTTTTAAACATGCACGTATGGTGACGGTTGATGTTTTGTAAAAATTAAATCGAATACCTAACTAAGTATACTGAATTCGAAGTCCAAACTGATAGATAAAATAAAAAAAAATCTTAATTTTGGTCATTATTTGGTTTGGGTATTATTACCACAGAGGTATACCTTCAACTCTAAATTTTAATCACACTACTATGCTCGCGCTCAGCCGTGGCCGCCCACCCCGCAACGTATGACGGCGCTCGCCGCACGCAGCTTCGACCAGCACATGTCCCGGCTTCGGTGGAGGCCGGGCCGTTTTCATTTTCAGAATATCATAAAAATTTACTTTATTGTCATTTTTACTTATTAATATTAAATTGTTCTTTCTTTCTTTAAGTACCTAAGCACCAATAAATATTAATTTTATTACAATCTTAATTTTCAAGACTGACTTCTAAAATGTAGGTTTTATAATTAGAGTTAGTCTATTCTATAGGGTATAAAACAGACGGCTATATAATAGTAACAAGCGCCAAATAATCGGTAGGCCAATGCCAACCTGGTTTTAGGATAGTGTAAACTGAATGTAATGGATTGTAATGACATCGGTATGCATCTGAGAAAATCGGAACACGTAATAGGTAAGTTTGCCTACTGTAAGGAGATGTGGGCACCTAATTATCTACTATTTAAGTGATGATTGATGTTCGCGTCTCTAAAGGCGTTAGTAAGTACCTTCAGCCTACATTTTCACTAATATACTTATTATAATTATGATAGGCTACTAAATTATACTTAATCTAGACACGACAGCTGGTTGTGTAAAGCTGTTGTTAGGCTGCATAGGCCACAAGTTTTTTCAAGTGTACATAAATGCTACGGCTACACAAGACAGCCTACGTTTAAAAAAGTATATACAAAGAGACATAAAAATATCGGTGTTATTGGTAGTATGTGTGAACTGAGCTTGATGATGACGGTGGTGGTCCTGGCGTAGGTACGGACGCTGGTGACGGTAGCGTCGGCAGCGGTGTCGGTGGTGGTGAGGAGTAGACCTTACGTTCCGGCGGCAGCGCGGGTAGCGGGGAGGATAGCCCGAAGCCTCCCAGACCGCTGATTGAGGAGCCACCAGACAGCATCTGGCCATGCACGCCTCTCATCCCGGCGAACATCGGAGCTGAGCCTGCAAACAAAATTGTTAATATTATTGTATCAACATATGCAAGTAATTTGTTCGCCAAGCATGATATCATACGTGTTTTCGAATATTGTAAGTATTTAAACATATTTCGCAGGGTAACAAATTATTTGTGCATAATCTTAATAAGAAATCAATCGCTTATAATTAGAAATATTGACAAAGCTTACTTGAAGCTTTCATAAGGACTTTGTAATGAGAACGCTCATAGCTCAACGTTAAAAGAAATCAAAACCATAAAAAATGTATTGAGAATTGAATTCGATTAATCAAACCAATGGCGAAGAAAATGACGTTTAAGTATAGGGAACAAAAAATACGATCAAATATATTTTTTTATTTGACACCATTTATTACAATCATAAAACAATACTAGAGATAAATAAAGTTCATGATTAATTAAATTAATTAAAATGATTACTGGGTTTTTAAAAAATCCTAGTACTAGCACGGAGTCTGAAAATGTGCCCGGTATAAGGCAACAGGCTCACCCTATTACGTGGGACTCATGTAGGTACGGTGGCATTAAGTGCCTTAATGTGCACTTCTGCCTACTCCTTTGGGCTACGTAGGTCTAGTATTGAATGATTTAAATCAGACTTTTGTGCATACCTGAGACAATATTAAAAAAAAAAAATAGTTTTGAGCACAACGCATTAAAATATTGATGTTTTATCTTTATTTTTTAAGATTAAATATATCAGTAACTAGAGTATTATTGTTCTAGAATCCCTGGTGGTTCAAATTAATCAATTCTACGGAGAGTTTCTCAGTTTAACTGTCATACATGACGTGCTTCATTATATCTCTCGACGACCTCTTTTTCTGGGGTTGATTCTACAGTAGTGTAATATATTGAACATAGGTGGCGTTGTGCCCGGCTGTAAATGTACGAAAATTGAAAATTACACACGATAAACTGAATTTAAATGTTAATTAGTATTTAATTTTACATTAAATTGAATTAGAAATACGCCTCTTTATTTATTTGATTATTTGGTGTTTTCTTGTTACGACAGCGCCATCTAGTTTGGCAAATCGTCAGCCGGAATACAATTGCTACCCTCCGTATGAAGGGCATAGCCCTCTTTGAAGTTCACATCATATTGAATCACCGTGTCCGCTTAAGTTTTATATGGATAACTTTAATTATTAATGTGTTGCTTTACAGTTAATAATCAATATTACCATCACGAATGGTAGTCGGTCAGATTTGCTAAGTACCAGGGCTCTCTGTTCTTGGTTTCATAAATAGGTTTGGTTGGTTTCATAATATATACTAGTTTCATGTTTCAAACTTAGAATGCGGTGACACAAACGATTACTTTTTCAGCTCTAATTAATTTCGAATGTCTCACTCATAGAAATATTCAGATAAATTATTTATGCCTTGTTCCGCCTCACCCAGGCGGAAGAAGTCATTCGATGATTTTCCCCCCTTAAAAAAAGTGTCAGTCCATAACGCAGACGCAAGGGAAATTGTAAAATTGTTTGTTCCGATTCATTAGGTACTTCAATGCTTTTATTTTCTACAAAAAAAACCTACGATGGATGATAGAAATGATGTACAATTTCCCATGCTACACAGACAACATACAGTATCGCCGCTACTTCTTTGCTGCGCCCTAGTATCAGCATGTGAGGCGCTTTTTTTTAAGGGGGGAAAATCGTCGTATTACTGCTCTCGCCTAGGTTAGGCGGGAGGGAGTGTCAGACTCTTACTGACTAAAAACCACCCGTTCCTTCTCCTGCACGTCGAGCCGGAGCCCCGGTTACCCGTTAGGTTCTCAGGCGCTTACAGAGTTTTGCTGCAGGCGGATTTCTTAGAGTACCTATAGCGTAGATGAAAATACGACCTGTATGTAGGTATTCAAATCGGAGATGAGAGGAATTGTTTTTCTGCACATCTGCACGGAATTGTAGATGTGTACTGGGTGAAGTTGTGTGTAGCGTGCTTTGAGCTGCGAGCCTGCCTGCCAGACAAACGGATGGACTATTCAATTCATGACGTTTCAAAAGTGCCTTATTAAGGATTAATTGAAATAAATACTTTGACTTTGAGCTGTATGCTGTGTCTGCGGACAACTAGCTGTGCAGCTCACAGCTTCGCGAGACACAGTTGACGTTCTGACTACACTGCGCCGCCCAGGAGACACCTCACAGACTTGTGTGTGACCGCAGTACCCGCTCTGTGATCTTTGAAATATAACACCACGCCTTTTATCTCCGAAGGGATAGGTAGAGGTGCACATTCCGGCATTTTACGGCACTGTACAATGTAACACCTACTATTCATTATTTACATTAATAAGTCCCATGTAATAGGCCTATTGCCTATATATACAGGGCACAATTCCAGACTACGTGCTACTACAGGGATTAAAAAAAAGCTGTAATACTTTACTACTCGGCCAACGAGGCAGTCAGTCTATTAGATATATGAGTAACGATATTACATGTAGGAATGTTTATTTATTAATTGTTTAAATACTACTTCTCTCCATCTTCAAGTCCAGACCTACAATCACTTTTTAATTATTGATTTCTTAAGTATGTTAGTTCATGCTAAGACCAATCAAAATGTAAAAGGAGAATTTTCTTGTTGCCTTTATAAATCTTGTATAAGTACCTAGTATCTACCTACATATTTAGTCGTTTGTTAAACTGTTGTTTAATGCATTTATCTTAATTGCATTTAATATATGGTTTTGTGAGACACGTTGGCAATACATTATGAGTTGCCTACCATCGCGTCCGTGTTCTATGCCTGGGCGTGTAATTTATTATAATGACTTGTGTCGAAACATTTTGGTAGCCTATACGTAATTTACTAAAATATATAATCTCAGTGATTGGCTGAGAAGAGCTGAAAACCGAGTTCAGTGGCGTGTTATTGGAGAGGCCTATGTCCAGCAGTGGACGAATACAGGCTGGTGATGATGATGAAATAATGCGGACAATATTAAACAACAGGAATTAGGTAGGAAAGCAAAGTGGTTCGAAAAGTGATCCAAATATAATAAAATTGATCTTTCAACATAGTTAACCATTCAATGAATGAACGCAATATTGTACTTAAAAACATATATCTACTACTTAAATGATTGTTCATCAATTCCGTTAAACACTCTAATTTATTACAAAATAATTCAGCAAAGAATATTCACGCGGCAACTCCACGGTTTTCGGAAACCACAAACTCCGTGGAAAAAATAACCAGTGCACCGCTGACAACGCGTTGATATAATAAATGTGAAGACGGCGTAAAACCTCACGTACACCAGCGTGTTCACATAAAATATGTAGATGTTAGGCTATAATTGCACGGTACACAAGTTCCCATCGATCGCGGCCGCCTGCTGCTCGTCTGTTGTCGGCCACGTGCACGCCTCGGTACCTAATCGCCATAATTTAAACAAACCTAGCAACAGCTTCCAATTGGGGCGGTTTTAGGAATAAAATTTTACTTCGACTTTAAAAATTCCGAGAACTTTGTTCATACCTACCCAACTCTCAGACCAGATATATTTGTACATTACAAGTGTATCCCAGTTTCGTGATTACGTTTCCAAGAAGTTTATGGAAAGCTGAATATAAATTCCGGAATGAAATTGTTTGATTACGACATTCATCATTTCACTTTGTTGAGTGAGACAGCAGAAGATTATCAATATTTTTCAGCAGTTTACTTCGGTAATAAATACATTGCGGCCACTGTTACGATTTCTAAGAATGCTAAATCTAGTTTTTATTTAATTGTTTATATAAGTCTTATAATGAAAAAATAAAAGTGTCGGCCACTCTCTGCGGTTGTTTCATAAGCTAACATTCCGGTACTTGTCATCGCTTTTTAAAGGCCATAGATCACGCCAGGGAGAGGGCCTCGCCGATGGGATAAATTGCTCTCAAGTTGGCAGGCGACGAGAGATGTGCGCCGGCGCAGCGGCCGCGCCGACCCGTTACCGAATTACATTACTTTAACAGTTTAACTATAGATTTATTGGAATTTAAGTGGCACACCCAGGTACGTGGAGCGAGCGCCGGGAACATTGCCTACTCCTGCAACTGATCGCAGAAGAATTCGCATAAGTCGCACAGCATTTGCACACAGAAATGTAATTCACAAAATGTAATATGTTCGCTAGCGAATTATGTGAATCCTGAATGCCGGAAATTTATGATGGTAATCAAAATATTTTTTATGTCATTGAAGCAATAAAACTGGATAATTCGTTTTATATTAGTCCATGCATGTTTCCCTAATTACATTCGTTTACGAGGCGTCGGATGTATGTGAATGCGATGGTGTTTGGACCGATTAGGAATGGCTGTAATTTCGTGAGTTTCGCAGGCATTAAGGATTCACGAAGACGCAATATTCCAGAAAACACGATATAAATGCAAAGTAATTCGTGTTGTACATTGAAAATTGTTTATAATTACACAAAAGTTAACAGTTACAGAATAACTGTGGTAATTTCACCATAAAGAAGCAATCTTTATGTTGGTATTCGTGTTAAAAAACGCACACTTTTAGTTTTTTTCTATATTTTAACATTATGACAAGTCTCAAGTACATCATATTACTTTGAATACACAGAATACAATTCGCGGTGATACTAGCAACTTCAAAATTTTAATACCTGATTACAAAACATCGATGAACCATAATCTTTCAAGTCACAAACGGTGAAAGGTATTCTGGTATTGCGCCAACGATCCTCCCTAAATCAAGGAAAATATATGTTTTTTATTATTATTCCTTTGACAATAGTAATGTTGTTAACATGCCAAACAGAACATAATTACGATTAGAATTTTAAATGAAATAAAAAAACTAAATGACTTATTTTATTGCTGTTATAAAACTCGTTTTGTTTGTGGTATTACTTTTCTTTTTTTTACGCAGGAAATGAATATAAAGTCGATAAAAGAAAAACGTTTCTTCATTCAAAAATTTTAAAATTGGAGTCGTTGTAGTAGGT